TTAGGTCGACATTTGACGGTGAGGCAGTCAATGTTGTCACTAGAGAATTTGAAACATACTTTATTAGATGTACACCATTGTGAATTTATGAAGATGGCGACACCGCCACCACGTTTCTTCCTAGAACTACATCGATCTTGTCTGAATAGTTTGAAATCATGCAGATACACTAGATTGTCATCGTATAGATCATGTAGCCATGTTTCTTGAAGTGATATGATCCCAGTATTTCGATATATAATGGAAGACACGAGTGATTGAAGACAGTTAATCTTGGCTGGCAGGGAGCGACAGTTAGTACTCATGATTGCAGGAACAGTCATAAATTGAATAGGGGTGTTTTTTAAGGCTCTTTGCCACCCGGCATGATGCTTTTTTTTGTCTTTTTTATGGCATTTCCGATCAGTAGGTTCTAAGGATATTAAATACTCACGAGAATAAATAATCCGATTAGAGGACATATTAGAATAAAATTTAATTATTTAAAATAAATTGGAAATGAGCAATTAGATGCAATATGATTTGTAGTGAATAAGGTATTTGGTAGCCCAAGATTTAAGCAGGCCGCCAAGGTCAATATTTTTTAGTCCTTGTCTTGTCAGTTAAATAGATTTCACCAGTAGTGCATTTCAATTTAATGGTAATTTGGGCTAATACACTCTAGTAATGTAACACCACTGACCATAGGAAATAGGTTTCACCATTGAGATGGACTTCACTTCAGTGCTAGTTAATACGGATCTATTTAGGAAATAGCTTCAAGATGATAGTCTTAAAATATCCGTTTCTTTCAGTTATATTACAAAATAAAGGTTATTATACAGAAAACGATAAGAAAGAGAAAGGAGTATTTATTTTCGACTGAAAATACTCACATCTTTACTTTTTGTGGTACCTTTTAGGATGCTTGATTTCATGGTGTCTTCTTATACGTTGAGTTTAAGAAATTCTGAATCTGTATTTCACAAATCGTGTGGTTTGAACTGATTCGGCTCTCTGAGTTGAGTCGAACCAGGTACACCGGTGATGAGCTCAGCCTCAAACGAGAGAAACGGTTGTCCGGTGTTTAGATCACTTCTATTTGGCTAACGAGCACTGCTGGTCGGTATGAGAGGTATACAACTACTCATCTTAGTCAACCAGTAGTATATATAGTTTCACGTATATTCACTTTTGTTTGGCACAGAAAATTAACTAAGACTTAGAATGTTGCACATCTGCAGGATAAAAAGAATTCATTTCATCCTGTAGATGTCTTTGCTTTGGTCTTGTTCAAACTAATCAAGGTAGCCGGGTGTATGTTACACATCATCTACCTAACACTACAATTTAGTGTCAACTAAGGATAGATAGAACCTTGTATTGTTTAGTCTAATTTGTAACACATAAGTTAATGAGTTTATCGACCAACTGGTCAAACACTTGATCAACAGGTGAAAAATATATGATCACAATTTCCATAGCCGATTAATAGATCACTTACAAAAGAAGCTGAATATCTGGTCTGTTATATTTTCTAAAATTGAAATGATGTTGTATCTTTACAAATTCATATAGTGTCAAGCCTAGAATAATTAGGCTAAACCACTGAGTTGCATCTGGAATATTCTCAATAAATTAACAATATTATCTAGCTTCCTAGTACGAAATATGCGTACATGTTTAACCTACGCTGTTTAGGCTTAACACGATAATTTTGAAGATGATGAAAACTAAAAAAGTAACCTAAATGACACATAAACGACTGAAATTTGCTTCGATTACATATTCTCCAATTGAAGTGTTTCTCTTCTTCTTGTTATCAGCTGAGTGGAGAGGGAAATAATGGGAAAAAATGTATAAGAAAGGAAATATTTTAAAAGCAGTTAATTCGCAGACACCACATTTGTGCGCGATTCTTGCGTAGCAGTAATCCCTAAAATTGGCTACCTTTTTTTACAGAACAATCAGAACTAAATAATAATAATAATAGTAATAATAATGGTAGTAAAACACTGAAAGAAAGAAGAAACTACATGAAATCACTTTATCATTACAGGTGGATTCCATTTCTGTACAATCCAGTAATGTTGAACTACACGAAAGGCTTTTCGTGTAGATAGTCACTTCCCTGAAAATTCGAACTTTTTTTCTCAAGTTTTACTGACTTTTGACTTGACCGAATTATACTATCAAGCATAACAAGAAGTCGAGATATGTCACCAGACACCAAATCGGATATTTCACCTTCACACAATCTTGCCAAATATATTTTGTTGTCTCGAACCTGAACGTTGAAAATCGTCCTTTCAAAAGTCGAACCATACCTCATATGACTACTGAGTTATAAAAATAAGACCACAATAGATTTCGTTTAATATATCTAATGAGAGAACGTCACTAGAAAGGTCACCTGAATATAGGTCACATGAAACGTCAATAATTTTTTATGGTTATACATACATAACATTTATATAATTTAGACAAAGTAATAAGAAGAGGTAATTTGTGTGAATCATGTAATGTATTTGCGCAACACATTTCAAACAATCTAATCACACACGCACTTGTCACAGGAATATGTATGAAATTAATAAGGAGTTAAGAGGTGAAAAAATAGACTTAGGTCAAGTTAAAAGGGCATAGTGAAGGTCGAAATAACAATGAAGATCACTAAACCAAAATAAGAGTACCTGACATTAACAGGATCATTTGTTAATGCGAGCAATTTAAGACACTTTGTTAATCAGTTTTTTACAAAGACACCTTGCTACTGATAATTTGTAAGTAGTATATAGTTTTGCGCATCATTTATCGGTAAAAGGGATATACAATGAAAAAAATGACACAAAGCACATTACTATTTTCTACTAAACCACTCCACTTCTCCATATGAGAACGAATTATTGACCTGTCCACCTAAGATCTTTAGAAGTAAGTATGACAACAATCAAATTCGCCATTTAAAATTTATGTAGTTCGAGGTGAAATTTCACCCCAATTTCCTTGGGAACCAAAGTTACCCAGGTCACAATATAATAATAATATATTAGACGCATTTTTACAGGACATACACTTTTGGTTGTAAATTGAATTCAATCTGTGCATTTCAGACTTTATTAGGATGTTAATTCTTTTCAAACCAGTATTATCCTTCATTTTATATAACTTTTCTTTTTGTCTGCGAAGCTTTTTAAGTTGAGGGGAGGAGAAACGGTCAAATCTGATAAAGAGCGTTTCTCTGGGACAACAGGTGTCAAGACAAAATTTGAGATAACTTGTAATATTAGAGATTGTGTCATCAAGAGAGTCTTCTTTAAACAGATCCCACCTTGTGTCTTTGAGCATGCTTCTGAGGTTCTGAACGTTCTCCATACAGTAACAACCATGTACAGTTTTCTTGGAAAGGTGTGAAAAAGTTCTCTTGCGTAATTTTCCATAAATTTTAGGTAAAACCCGTACAATACAATGATCTGAGTTCAACAGTGGAGCTCTCTTACGAGCTTCGTATATTCCGGAGTCATTTATAAATACAAGATCAAGGGAATTATCCAGTTTGGTGGGAAAGTTAACAACATTTTCATGACCTAGCACTGTGAGAAAGCTGCAGTCACATGAATTAAAATCACCTGTCACTATGGACAGGGAGTTACCAAAAGAGGCGGCAGCAAAAATATTGAATTCATCAGCAAGCATAGATAATTCTGAAGTGCTACAACAAGGTGTGATATAAATATTCGTGATATAAATGAATTTGTATTTAGATAGGTGTTTAGGTCGACATTTGACAGTTATACAGTCAATATTATCATTTGAGAATTTAAAACAGACGTTGTTGGCAACAGACCACTGAGAATTGATGAAAGTAGCAACAACACCACCTTGCTTCTTCCTTGAACCACTTCGGTCCTGTCTGTACATATTGAAACCATTTAGTAAGATTAAATTATCATCATATGAGTCGTGTAGCCAAGTTTCTTGAAGCGTTATTACACCTGTATTACGATAAATATTTGAATATAATAAAGCATCCAAGTGATTAATCTTGTTCGATAATGACCTGCAATTAGTGCTCATAATCACAGGAACAGTTATCTGATGCATTGGAGTACACTTTAAGGATCTTTGCCACCCACCATGCTTTTTCTTAAGGTTATTATATACTCGTAAAACATCCGGTTGAAAACATTTTAAATAATCGCGAGGTTAAGTAATATGATTTAGACACATAATTGAATAATTAAAACAAAATAAATCCAAAAAATCAGATGCAATATAAGTGACAGAAAATTTTCGTAGCCCAAGTTTTAAGCAGGCCGCGTGATCTGCTTGACACCATAAAAGGTAATCTAGAAAACAAGCATAAATGCATGACACTGTATACTGCTGATTGATTGGGACGAGTAGTTGTATACCACTCACATGAGCCAGTAGTGTTTTGTCGCCAGACCGATGTGATCTAAACACTAGACAGACGTTTCGCTCGTTTGGAGCCGGTCTCGTCAGCAGTTACCCCGGTGTGACATAGCTAAGGGGACCGAATCAGTTCAGACCACCAGAATTCTGGCTAGCTACTTATGCAAACTGGTAATACACTAAATTATATTCTCAATTAGCAGTTTACCAAGTTCGAGGAGGTGAAATTTCCCTTAGAAATTGAAATTGTTCAGAACACAATATGTATTCTGTTTAGTACTAAAATAGTAGTCAGGACAACATTTCTGGTACACCGATGACGAGCTCCGTCTCGAATGGATGAGACGCCGTCTCCGTCCGGCGTTTAGATCACATCGATCTGGCTAGCAAGCACTGCTGGTTGATGCGAGTGGTATCCAACTCCTCATCTCAGTCAATTAGTAGTATATAGTTTCAAGTATGACAACAATTAATCTGAATTAAACCCAACATTTCAATTGTAGCTACAGCAGTAAACAGCAATTTATTTCCTCTCGGTAATTATATTTATCCAATTGACCTAATTAGAGAAAATTATTGAAATACTATTGTATTCCAATTTTTAGATCTTGTGGCAGCTACATACAAAGGAATTTCTTATCTCCTTGATCCTGAACAATGTGGAAATACAGGAAATTTTGTTGTAGTTGTTTTAGGCGGTGCTCCTGAAGCATTAGACTCTCGCCCTGGAAAATATGTTTTTCATACTAATCGACGATATGGTTTCTTTAAATTAGCAATGCTAACAGGGTAAGTATAATTTCTTTACTATTTTCTTTTCACATATAAGATAAATATATATTGAATAAAGAGGTAATTGTGAATGTAGTATATATTGAAATGGGAAACATAATTGGAATGGTATGAAAAGAAGATGAGAAACAAGGAATAGATGCTCAACTAATGTTTTGCATAAAACATAAAAAATATGTGCTAATTACCATTAGATCAGCTAAACATTAGGTGAGGCAATCAGCTAATTCTATGTATTTGATAATGTTCGCTGATGTGAATCAAACGGCAATTCACTGTCGTTATACAATATCGGGAAACCGACTAAATGCAAATTATTTGGTTAGGTAAGCTAGATTACTGTAACAAGACCACAATGGATAAGTGTTTATTCAAAGTTGTTAGGACTGGACACAATAATAAGAATATATGTGTAAAACTTCGGCACTGTGGTAGTAAGTAATACCATATTAGTTTGTTTATTGGATGTATCACACAGTGAAACAGTATTATTTACTGGATGACGAACTGATTTGTGACCAAGAACTGGAACTTAGGACGAAAGTACCACCAGAGGACATAATGCTGGGAGTGCAGCTATGCCTGACTTCCACAATATTTAAATTTCAAAGGAAAATATATAAACAAACTGAGGGAGTTGCCATGGGGTCACCAATATCCCCGGTTGTCGCAGATATATTCATGGATAGGTGGGAAAACATAGCGATTGAAACGTTCACCCCCACCCCAAAAGTATGGTGGAGGTATGTAGATGACACATTCACTGTACTTAGAACACAGGATATAGATAGATTTTTCGAACACATTAACTCAAAGGTAGAGGCAATTCAATTCACTAATGAATTGGAAAGTCAGGAAGGGGAGCTTCCAATGTTAGATTGTAGCGTAAAAAGAAAAGAAGATGGGAAGTTAAACACTAGTGTTTACAGGAAACCCACAAATTCAAACAGATATTTAGACTTCCGATCATCCCATCCTATGTCAGTGAAAATAGGATTGGTGAAATGTCTGAGTAGTAGAGCACAAAAACTAAGTAGTACCAAGGAAAATCTAAGACAGAAAGTGAGGTATATAAGAGAAGCTTTGAAACTTAATAATTATCCTGATAAATTATTCAAAAAGTATGTAGGGAAATGTAAAAATAAAAATAAATGATGATATCAGTGATAGTGATAATAATAATAATAATAACAATAATAATAATGACGACATGCATGTCAAACATGTTCAAGACAACACCAACAGTAAGGAATCTAAATCATCAGTAGTAATTCCATACAAGGAAGGAACCTCGGAAACCTCACGCAGAATTCTTAACAAGGCAGGAATAAAAGTAGCTGGTATTCAAACCCACAAACTTAATTAGAAACAAGCTTTGTCTTTTAAAGGATCAACATTCAACAGCCTTTAAAACAAAGCAATTTAGTTTATCTAATACTCTGCAATGATTGTCAGGTCAAATACATAGGTCAAACTAGAAGAACAGTGGCAGTCAGACTAACCGAGCATAAAAACCTAGCAAAATCTAGATTAGTTGACCCGAATAAGGTAAGAAATCTAGAGAATAGTTCAGCTATAGCACTCACTACATGCAATTACACACATACGTACAATATGATGACAATTTTGAAATCTAATGTCACAGGGTGGAGGGAGAGATTGACAACAGAAGCTTTGTTTATCGAATCAACTGCAAATACGTGTAATAGGAATGATTCAACACCTGTCCCAGATATCTGGAAAATCCTACTACCCCTACGACGACAAATAGGAGAGAACAAAGAAAACTATAAAACTCAAGTTTCGAAGTCGTATGTTTATAACTGATATGATTATGAACAATAAATTTTGTTCGAAACGTCGTCATCCAGTAAATAATACTGTTTCCCTCACTGTGTGATATATCTAATAAACAAACTAATATGGAACAATAATAAGAATTTAGCTGTTATTATTCGTTTGGATTCTGAGTGCAACAAAGGTCTTCAGCAGAACATTTTGCTGCGTTCTCTACAGTCTCCTTTAACAGACTACACGATTTCCTCCATATCACACTCGGACGCCCAACCTATAGTTCTAAATTCAGGTTCCACTCTGGGACCTGGTGCGCCATGTCATTCAGCGATCTGCCAGAGTCCCTTATCCTTTCTGGCCGGCTAACCATGTGATATTCAGTACCAAGAGTACGAAGCTGCTGACGAAAGTCTGCAACCTTTTATTACACAACTATTGCCTTTGATTATAAAGTGTTTTACAAAATTCGAAGAAATTATAGGAAGTCTTGATACTGGTGAACAAGATTAAGCTGTGGTTTCAAATGACACATATTTATTTGAACTTATTTAGTGTGTATCGACTTCCCTGAGAAAGATCTCTATTTTCTAATCATAGACCGTAAAATTAACGGAATCATCACCCAGTTTACCGTTCATATTACATATGTTCGTAACTACAAATGATAAGTAAGTTAGAGTAATGGATTCGGTAATCAATAAATTCTTGACAGCAGGTGTAATATTTGATTGTAGCGAATCATTACTTGATATTGAAGGTTCAAAATGATTCGATATTTTCTTCTACCTTATCAATCAATTTATTGTTACCCAGGCTTGTATTGATTTTATGTCATGGGAACGAAAATCAATAAACGCACAAAGTTGTTTCTTCTCTTATTTCTGTGTGTAAGGAGTCAGTCTGTCTGGATTCAACAAATAACTTGACACCGAAGTGCAGCAGTTCGAGTTGCCACGTTCCAAATAGCACACAAAGGTTGACAAGAAGATGAGTGAAGAGAATCAATAGAGTTTTGACAAGTATAAGAGTGAAACAGAATGAGTGATGGTAGAAAGGAATATGAAAGATTACAGAGACTGAATACATCTGCGTAAGCCATTGACAACGATTTTGAGCCATGTCACCTATTATCTCCAGCCATTGATTCTTAGAGTCCCGAGAGCCCCAACCCGGAAGTCTGCATCTCCCTACCTGACTCAGTTTAACTGTCAAGGATTTCATGGATTGATTGATGCCATGTTTTTGTTTGGCCACCACTTACTCTTTTCCAACCTGCACCTATATCAGCTAGTAATGCCCGTCGGGGAAGGAGATGGTTAGGCATGCGCAGCACGTGACCTAGCCATCTCAATCTATGTAACTTCATAGCCTCTTCGAGTGATTTTCCCTCTTTGCCCAACACTCTACGCCTAACGTCAACATTACTTACCTCATTATACCACCTAATGTGAGAAAGAGATCGTAGACATCTATGATCAAAAACAGTTAACCTTGTCTCTATACTACATCATTCCTGTATTAACTAATCAATTATCTAAACTTGACAAACCTCATGTACACACACAAAAAAAATATTTATATATAAATGCGATTGTACAGCTATGTGAATGAATTCGCCGAAAAGAGTCTCTTCGCTGAATGTCTTCTCTTTTTCATATAACCTTTTCATGTCTCCAACTCATGTTGGCCATGTTTCAGAGCCATAGAGAAGGACGGAGCGAACTGCTGAGCAGTACACACGTCCCTTGGTTGATAGTCGGATGTCACACCTACGCCAGAGATGGTGTAAGTTAGCGAAAGCAGCCCGAGCCTTTTGGATCCGTGCTGAGATTTCGTCACCAATCAATCCGTTAGTGCTGATACAACTTCCCAAATAGGTGAAGTGGTCAACATGTTCTATCACTTCAGTCCCTATCACTAAGCTAGGGGTAGACGTAGTCCAGTCCTGTAGCAGCATCTTACATTTTACAGGGGCGAATCGCATGCCAAACATACGAAGATTTAAAAAAAAGAACAAGGAGTCAGTAAAACACTTGAACTCTATCCATTTCATGGTATTGCAAAATCATGTAGTACAGTAGACATAAATTCGTATTCCAACAATCTAAAATATCCCATGCAGCTACTCGATGGTTGATTGAAGTGAAATTACTATCATCTTTCTAAAATTCATAATTATAATAATCTAAAGGTCTTCAGTTCATTTTGTATGTTTTACAGTTGCAATATAGAAAATAAACATTTCTTAATGTTTTATTATTTATTTTGTCTTGTCAACCATCTCGAAGGCCAAAGGATAAAAGTATGTTTTTTTGCTTATTGGCTAACTTCAACTCCATCGTTTCAACCTAACTGCTGCAGTTTTCTTCAAGAAATCCAAAAAAGAAACACTTAGGTGACATGTAAGATTCCTCGATTTCTATAAAGTACACTATTGTAATATCAACGGACAAATGAGATTAATAAAGACGCGAAGTCAGGGTCGTAAACTCCGTTAATATTTATCATATCTTTAGAAAAATCAAAACAGTCTGTAGAAGATTATTTAATTGAATTTTAGATTTTCCCGTCGATTGATTGGGCCGAAGTGCTAGGTCTCAGGTTGACATGTCGGCTTCTTTGTGCAGATGCTTCAACGATGTCTGGGCATGTAATTAGAAGTTAATTGGTGGATGGTGACTAGCAGTGGAATCCAGGATGTGCATTTCGTCCTGTTTGGGATTCATCAGCCGGAAAATCTAAAATTCAATTAAATAATTAATATGCCCCATTGCACAAGAGGTGGCTCCCGTGGCCCAAGTGGTCTAGTGGATAACGCTTTGGCACTGGGTTCGAGCCTCAGTGGGGACATCATCACTCACTGGGGAATTCAGGCACATCCAGTTGACGAGTCCTAAATAGGACGAAATGCACATCGTGGATTCCGCTGATAGTCAACATCCACCAATTAAAGTCTGTAGAAGGGGCAAGAATGATAGCAAAAGATTAAGAGGTAGGAAAGAGTAATCAGTCTAATGAAATGCCGACATTGCTAGACTGATATACAATTGCAGCGGGCTTTAATGCTCATTACAGCACATAATATATGGTGTGAAATCGAAGTAAGCTAATTTTAAGCAATGCACCTCTATAGATGTATTTCTGTCCATCTGACATTATACTGAGTGACCAAGTGGAACATTAACATAGTGGTTAATACATCCTTTTTAGTAACAAAGTAGTTATTCCTTTGAACTTTATTTCATCCTGAAGGCTTCAGCTAAACCGATAAAACAGAGGTGAACAGTGTAAATAGTATGACAATGGATTATCCGATCTTCTGATCATGAACATTGTAATGTAAGCTTATCCCAAGTTGTTAGAAGTTAAAAGACTGTGAACATGACGATATCGTCTCAAATTGACTAATTCACAATCAATCTATTACTCAACTTCTACTAATCAAGTTTACAATGTGATCGATCACTAAACGAGAATACGTGAAACTGTTTGATTGATAAATTTTGAAGCGTTATGATATTTCTCAAAGAGCTTAAAATTACACTTTATTTTTTTGTTTAATTTTCAGATCAGATCTAGTACCATGTGTATCATTCGGTGAACCAAATATGTATAAACAAGTACATAATCCTGAGGGGAGTTGGCTGAGACGCTTTCAAAATCGATTTACAGAAATGGCAACATTCTCACCACCATTGTTTTATGCTCATTATCTAATACCTTATCGTACAAGTGTCAATACTGTTAGTAAGTTAGCGTTATATGGGTAATCTCGTGTTTTACGAATTCTCAAGCTTTTTGTTTAATTAAGTATACAAATAGAAGAATGCTGCAATAATGATAACCATAAACAACAACTCATAATCAATTAATTTCTCGGAAAATCTAAAATATGATAGTCGAATATTCTAATGCTAAAGCTACTTGTTACTGATCTTCATTCGAAATGTTCATAGATGATACCTTATTAAGACAGACAAGAAAGCAAATCGATTTATTCATTCAAGAGGCCAATATACCGAAAGTAAGTGGAGAGAAATAATCGGCCGATGAGACGAAACGCCCAGGCTGGATCCCACTGGTGGTGATGACCAAACAAGAATCGACCAATGCGAGATTTTGCTGAATTCATAAATTTTAACAGAACTGTTTAGTTAGTGACCTTAGATACTTCCCTTCATTATTATATATATATATATATATATATATATATATATATATATATATATATATATTGCTGAGTTAAATGAAGTATTCAAGGCCACTAACTAAACAGGCTTCTTCATGACCACAACGTAAACTAAGTCGAAATTTGAGGAATAAACATTTCTACTTCTGCAGGCATTGACCTAAAATGATGATTTCAATTTTGGCCGCTTCCTATAAGTCTGCACATGTCACATATATACTTAAGGAGAGTTGGAACAGCCAGATGATAAGGCGAAATGGATACTTAATTTTCTTCTTTTCCATAAGCGATTTATCCATCCCCCCTTTCAGTTTCTCTGTGTTCATACGTAATTTGCCTCAACCGTTCATCACCCTGTTCCACTGTTTGTAGGTATTCTTTGTGTAAATGATAAAATAATAGTAGCTTTATTCTGGTTGAAATTTTTAAACACACTGTACACAATTCTCAACGTGATTTCCTTCATATATTCTCTTCATCCAAAGTCTCCAAGTAAAACAGCAATTCATAGTATATTATAGGTGACTCTAAACTATCTGATGACCTTGACAAATTTATATACAGAAACTGGTTTAACCTGACTGTGAGAAATTGGAACATATACAAGAATATTATCCTATGCAACCATTTTCCAAACATTGCATTACTTGTATATAGACGTCTGTTTCAAACTACGCACTTCTACTTCAGAGGCATCTGATTGGTCGCTAGAGGTCTTTACTAGGTAGTTTCGTTTCGGGTTGCTATAGTTTATAGTCACCATATTATATAAAGCAATGTTATTCAATTTGAAACATACACTAATCCCTTATGACATTTTTCCTTCATCTTTAAGAAAAGCGCACCAGTAGTTTGAAGGCCAACTAAAAATGTGCGGGAGTACATTTCACGACCCAATCACATATTTGAATGATTAAAACAATAATAACTAGAGCAAATATGAAACATTCTGTTGAATGGAAGTCCAGGTAGCCCAGTGATTCATGCAGGCGACCACCAGATGATATTCAAAACTATGTGTGTAGAGTAACTATCTGAAGACAGGGCTTCAGCATCGAACTTTGCACAGAAGTGCAACATTTCAAGTTACTATATTCCATGTAGCACACATGGATATAGGAAACAAGAAAATAGACTTTCTAAGGAAAGCCTTGTCTATTACTCTTTGGAAAAGTATCGATTAACCTTACTGTGATGATGTTCCATGTTCAAATTACCTGGCAGGATTCGAATCAGCAACATCTAAATTACCCTCCTGCTTATGCTAAGTATATCTCTCGATTTTCCTACTATACAGAGATGAGCTATTGCAAAATTTGAACTTGCCACGTTACCTTAACCACTGAACTTCAATGTGTAGTTTCGTTTGATCTTATTTCAATCACATTAACCAAAATATCAGTAGAAAACGACCAGTCTTTCTTCTATTTCGCTAAACTATAATAAAAGTAACATCTTACTAGATATTAGTTTAATCTATCTAAAAAAATATGGCACCAATGAGATCATCTAGTTAATTGTAACCCCTTCCCCACTATTCACTTTTCCTCTTCCCACTTGTTAGCTAATTAAGCTCGGGAAATAAAGAAAGGATAACACCCGTTCATCAACTATCAATATCAGTCGTAAGAAACACAAAATTATCTAAATACTTCGTCTTTACGACTCTAGTAGCATTCATAGCTATTGCGTGCGCATGTGAATGGATGAAAAACATGCTTATAATAGAATCCCACCGAACTAGCAGCCTAATCCTTTAAATGAGAAGCAGATGGCACACTGTTTACAGAGTCATTTGACCCAAGCTAAATATCCCATTCGAAGCTATAAACATACAGTTTATCAAGCAAATAAATCTAAGATATACTGACCAACCACTTTATTATGCAAATTATATATTTCCTTTATCATATACAGTTGGACGACCGATACCCTGTAAGAAGAATCTGAATCCGACTAGAGAAGAAGTCTCAATGCTTAAAGAATTATACCTGAAAGAATTACAAAATCTTTATAATAAATACAAGCCAATCTATGATCCCGATGGTGAATTAACATTCGTCTAAAATGCACAGATAAACCTGTTTTTTTTCTTCTCGTTTTTGTGTAGTTTAATCTGAACAAAAGATACATGTATTTCAACAGTAACACGCATTATTTGATTTCGACTTCTTCTTTTGGTTATAATTATTTTGTATAACTTTACCTACATAATAATAATTTAAAAAATGATTTAAAAGTACATATTACTTGTCTTCACTTTCAAGTATGAAGAATTTCATAAAGCAAAGAAATACGAAATTGAATGATCATAGTGTTAATCAAAGTCTGTCGACTAATAAGCAACTACTTCATTAGAGTGTACCATCTTCGGTATGAAGCTGTGGTTTAGGTACTAGATATTCAACTACTCGGTCACGGAGTTTAAGGTTTTAGCAGCCAGGTAGTATGATTAGTCCACACACACACAAAAGGTGCGGTCCACTACCAACTGGATGGAAACCCAAGTTGATTGCTGAGTTATGAAAACTTTAATTATGGCGTGAATAGTCGCCAAATTATTGATAACAAAGCAGATTTTAAAAAGTAATACGGGCTACAAGTGTTTCCTGCTGGTAACTATCAGTAAGCATAAATCAGAGTCCCAGGTAATCTATCAAATGTCACTAATAATAACAAAGCAGGAATAAGATACTTCTCTCTCTTCCATGAAGTATATAAATTCAAAACACTCATTGAGGTTATCAATCAATCTCCAAAGATAACTGAATTAAACCCTACCTCAACTAGGGATAACTACTAAGAAAGAACTAAGAGGATATATCAGTTTTTGTTAGTTAGGCTTCGCCTTTGATATATATCAGGGACCAACAGTTCTATATTCTCTCGAATATAAATTTAACATTGATTACCGTGAAATATTTATCCTCTTCGTGTATTCTGATGACCATTTGACTAATTAAAATAGAGAAATTACAGTAAACAAGAAGAATATGATTAGTACAGTCTAGTAAGTTAATGTTACCTCCTGTTGAACCAATAAGTCACATTGGCGATATAGCTCACTGACACAGATTCATTCACTCTCTTTAATCCATCAAACTTTCGTGTTTTTCCTGAACATTTCTGCTCAGTGTAGTTCCTTCAAACTTCTTTTTTCTAATTCCGTGTGCAACATGGAATGTAGCAACCTGAACTGCTGCAATTCTGTGCAAAAGGCTAGCCGTCTTTGATAGTAAGTACGTTCTATCTCCTGCATTAGGTGGTATTGTGGTGAGGGCTGCGTGCTAGCCAAAATCGGTAGATAGTAATTTACATCAATGTGTACGTCACCAATATTGGTCATGAGAAAAATAAGAACAAAAACTGATTCAACAACCAATCACAGCAGACTTTGCGTAGGCGGATACAATTTGCATATAGATGATCTGAACTTCAAGAAACGGCCACAAACAGATGAAAGATTAACGTTCAACGAGAAACCACAAATCAGAAGACTGTTTATTTGCTTAAATAATTTATAATAATGTACATGAAAATATATGTGTTGATTTCCTAAATAAAGGATCTGTTGCCTGGCCCTTGTCTTCTCTTGTTACAGTATAGTAGGGTGAGGTTAGGCGTCAAGTATTAAAGAGAGAGGGAAAGTCAATCGGTGAGGTTGTGAAGCTACATCGATTGAGATGGTTAGGATATTTGTTGCGCATGCCTACCCATTAGCTTCTTCAAAAGACAGTGTTAGCTGACATAGGATCAGATTGGAAAAGGGTTAGTGGTGGTCAAACCAAAACTTGGAGTCAGTCCGTGAACTCTTTGACAGTCAGTTTTAGCCACGTTGGGAGGTGTAGACTACCTCTCAATAGGGTCCTCAGAACTAATGGCTGGAGATAATCGGTGACATGGCTGAAAATTGTTCTCCATGAATGGCGCAGATGCATTCACTCTCAGTGATCTCCTATATATCCATTAGATCCTATAATTCTCCCTCATATTTATGTTTATTACTGTTCTTTTGAATCTCTTTTCTATCCTCTTTTATCTACCTTTGTATGCTTCGTGGAATGTAGCAACTTGAACCACTGCACTTCTGTGCAAAGTTCTATGTCGAAACTCAGTTAATCAGGCAGTCAGTCTGTAAATAGACACGTGTTCACATCAATAAGACAAGACAATCAATAAATGGAACTTTTAAACTTGGGGGATCAATAATCCACTTATATATCCCTACTAGATATGAATGTATCATCAGATAACTACTGCCAAAATATAATTAATACTGATAATACTGAAAAATATGAGTTTTTGGATTATCATGATGCTAAAGGTGATTCTACAACACAATCAGAATATTTACATAATAATCAAGGAGCAGAAAACAGATCTGCAGACACACCACCGATAAAGAAAAGATGTTTAAAAGACGAGGAAATACACATCATTGAAAAGTATAATTTAATTGCTTCTATTTCAGCCATAGAGCTGATGAATGTTAGTAATAAAGTTGAGAAAATGAAATGCCTAAATGAAAATTGTGACCAGCAGTTGAAATGTGATAATTCATGGATCAAAGAACAAGACTCGGGATATAATAATACGAATACTTATCTTTAAGTATGATTTAGCTTCCATTTTTCATTTACAATAATCTACTTCTGTTGTCTGTCTACTTATGTGTGTGTTTTTTCATTTCAAAAGTTGCTTTCAGTATTACTATTTTGGTTGTGTAATAAATAGAAACAAATAAAGTGAATATTATTCTTATTGCATAAGTTTACCTCCATGATACTAGTGGACTTGTGTGAAAATAATAGCTCAGCTACCATCTGCACCTTTATGCACTTGGAAACAAGCTATAGCTGTTTACCATTTGTGGACTAATTACACTGTCAAGCTACCCGGCTGATGAGAGCAGGTTAAAAAACAGTTGCACTGAAAAAGTTGACTGCCTAGGTCAATAAAGCCATAAATTGGGAACAATAAACTTTTGGTTCAAACTAATGCTAGGCAGACAACAAAATTATAAATTCTGATTGTGAAACTACAGAAAAATACCTGGTAGCCTAGAATGTTTACAAAGCGACATCTGCCTACCCCCGCCCTCCAAAAAAGTCTCACAACAATGAATCCACATACAAGAGAGAAAGCAAATACATAGTTTTACAAGCACCAAAATGTATATATTTCTTATGTTATAACAGTAGTCAAGTGAAAGACTTCTTTAATATTAGAATCTTTGAAATTTAGAGCTTCCCGTTGAACTTGTCTCTTGTACAGCTTGTGTTAGCATCAGTTTGCCCATAGTTTGACCTGCCATCTGAGAGAGACTGTTACAATAGAAATCAAGCTGAGCTGAAATCAATGCTGTATCAAGACGAATTGGCGCCAACTCCCGGTTTCGAGCCTCAGTCGCAGTCTGTATAATATAGGGGTGATTAAGGAGATGAATATTCAGTAATTGCATGTCGAATAAAAAGATTTATCATGAAATACGTTAAACATTAAGTTATACGTGAAAAGTTTTTATTGAAACCATACAAAAATTAAATTACTGATGAAGATGTCACCAAGCTGTGATGAAACCTCCCCGATTAAATATCAGAGTTTGAGGAACACCAAAATAATTTTCATACGCTAACTATCTAGAACAATATATCAAATGTGAATGTAACTTCTTTATTTAATATTTGTAAACCAATCAAACCGGATAAACCATGTTTAACACTAGGCCCATAGATATCGTCACTCACAAATCTTCAACAATATAGCAGACTTGAAATAATAGAAAAGATCTGTAGCTCAGGTGGATGATTTTCATTTGGCCTTTTGTGAACTGGATGGTGTAATCGCGAAGCTTTCAATGTTCTCCTAGACAACATCTAAAGCGCAAACTTCGATATGATGTGAATTTATTTGAACTCATTGTGATTGATATAACTATATCTCGTAACTAGCACATAAATTTGGAGAACAGAAATAAGTCGATGGAAAGTATTTTCTATAGCCAGTTATACCATGAAGTTAGTCAGAAGTACCGTAAATATTCTTGGACAACGTTAAACACTAATAAGATCTAGGGATATAAGGAGAAAAGGTCCAATTTTAAGATGTGTTAGAGCTTTCAACCTTTTTTGTCCATTTTGATTAGCAAATGCTATCACAAACTTCAATGGACCACATGTGATCCGTGAATTAATGTATAAATATGTACAGAAACTGCTTAGTTAGCAAGATTCCCTACCCCATTGGATACTAAGGGTGAAGACTGAGCGTATTTGCAGAGAGTAAAACATGAAAGATCCTGATGTTTTACCTGTCTTTTGATCAACGTTTGGCGAAATCCCCGCTACCCACCAAAAGGCATGTGTACCACACACAAAGTAAACTTAGTTCTACTTAACCGCATAGTGCAACATGCCTTCTAGAAGAAGAACATGTAAAAAGAATAGATAATTCCGATCACAAGTATCTACATTCAATAGCTTCGCGTTACATGGAGCAACATGACAAGTAACATTGGAGTTACGTGGGGAGTTTTGAACAAGGTGTATCAATCGACGTTATGAAGCTTCATAGATTGAAGTGGCTAATATATGCCTATCTGTAAACTTCCTCGATGAGAAATTTATGCTTGAGTAAGACTGGAATGTAAGAGAGTAAGATTAGTCAGACCAAAGCATGATCCCAATCAATGAAATTATCGACTGTTGTTCCTAGCATGGTAGTGAGATGTAGATTGTCTGACTCAGTCCTCGAGATACTAAGAATCAATAGTTGGAGACTCCTGGTGACATAATGTATTCACTGCGTGTCATCTTCCGAATCTGGTAAAGCCCTACTGTTCTTCATTTAATTACTCCAATCAACATACCCAGGTTTGTCTAATGTACCACTTCGTCCTTCTCTAATTTTACATGTGCATGTGGGTAGCTCAACTAGTACGCTTCTGTAAAAAGATGAACTTTGATTTTGGCTATATACCGCTCAAAACTCATTTTAACATAAAAGTTGGAATTCCTGTCATGAATAGTAAGTAAAACTCTTAGTAGGTGCAAAGTGTTAGTAAAAACCAAGTTGAATGACTTACCTTTCCAGTGACAGCAGTTTGGGATTTTGTTAAACTACGCTGGTACAGGTATTGAAGATCATGCACACTATCTAGACCAACAAGTAGAGAACGTAGCTGTTGCTCTAAACTAGAAGCCATGCTTAAGTTGAGGGTAGAATAACGGCCAGGATGATCTGTTGGAAGGGGTGGGGCAAGATCTAGTATTGACGATTTTGCAGAAAGCTCTGAACGTGATAATTCTTGATTATCAACGATTTCAGTTAAGAGAATATTTACAAGATGGGAATTATGTATTACAACAGGTATCTCCTCCAATACACGAGTGAAACTGCTACGACCAACACTACCTGCTGCTTCCTAGAACAAGTGAAAAATAAACAAAAGCTTAATATATTTCATTTACTTCATAACCTGAATAACCGCCTATGTTAAAAACAAAAACTGATACGCAAAATGAAAAATAACTTGAACGACACAAAAAAATACTGAAGTGGATATAATTCGTGGAAGCAAACCAACATTCATAACTGGTCTAGTGGTTTCTGCAGGCAAAGTGTTTGTAACTACAAGATTTCGTAACTTGTAGTTACAAGGACCAACCGTTTGTGCTCATGATCTTACAAATGATCACTGATAATTACATATTAGTTTCGAAGTTCCGTAGCTAAAAGATAAATTAGTGATCAAATGCCTTGTTCAAGTAGGAATACACCTAGAGAAATGTTGCCCACTGGATAAGTTAGTTAAGAGAGGTATGACACAATATGAAAACATTTCGTAGCACTAATGCATGAAAGCGGTGTGGATCCAAACCTGCATGGAACTTATAGACAGAAAGAAGAGATAGGACAAACAATGGCTCACTACAGACATATGGAGGCTGACAGAAGAGAGAGGGATGGTGAAACATAAGATTACCCAGTGCATCGACGAGCAGCAAAAACACAGGAGTTGAATGCAAGCTACAATACACTGAAAAAAGAGTAAAGAAAAGTGCCAAGGAAGACAAAAGAAAATATTATGAAGCTATGGCAAGTGAAGCAGAACAAGCTGCAGGCAAAGGAGACCTCGCAACACACTACCAAACAACTAGGTTCCTATCGGGGAAGAGACCAACACAAATTAAGCCAGTGAAGGATGACAATGGAAAGTCAATCATCAAAGAGGTGGAAGCAAAGGAAACACTGAGCTGAACACTTCAAAAGACTTCTAAATCGACCGCCACCTACAACGCGCCCAATAATACCAACAGAGAAAGCAGAACTACTAGTGGATACTAACCCTCCGAAGAAAGCAGGCCATAAAGATACTAAAACTGGAAAAGCAGCAGGACCAGACAGAATCCCAGCAAAAGCGCTCAAAGTGGGCCCAAAGACATCAGTGGACTTGATGACACCACTACTGGAGAAGGTATGGAAAGTGAGTAAGGTACCTGCTGATTGGAGGAAAGGCTACCAATTCAAACTGCCAAAGAAAGGAAACTTAAGTCGATGCAGGAATTGGCGCAGCACTATGCTCCTGTCTATCCCAAGCAAAATACTAAGCCGCATCATCCTGGAGAGAATTAAACACGCCCTGGATGAAAAAGTTCGACCGGAACAGGCTGGATTTAGGGGGAAAAAGTCATGCATCGATCAAACTGCAACACCATGTATCATCATTGAATAGGGCTTGGAATGGAAGTCAGCTCTCCACCTCAACTTCCTTGACTCTGAAAAGGCCTTCGACAGTATCGATAGAGAGGCGATTTGGAATCTACTTCGCTACTACGGGGTGTCGCCAACAATTATACACCTCATCCAACAGTTGTACGATAATGCTACATGCTAAGCAATCCACAACAGGAAACTCACGGAATCCTTCGAAATGAAGCCGGAAGTAAGACAGGGCTGCCTACTACCTCCAATGATTTTCCTGATTGCGGTAGACTGGATAATGCGACAGACAGCTGGCAGCGAGGAAACAGGCATAAAATGGACCCACACGAAAAACTTTGAGGATCTGGACTTCGCCGATGATATATATCTTCCCACAAACTGGAAGATATGCAAGTGAAAAGCAACAAGTTGGCAGAGGAAGTATCAAAGATAGGACGGACTTTAGTTTAACATAGAGAAAACAGAGGTGATGAAGATTCCTGGCCAACACCAGACAACAATCAGTCAGCTTAAATGGGAGAAATCTGAAAGGAGAAACCTCCTTCACCTACCTACCTGGGAAGCATCGTTTCAACTACAGGCGGAACTGATGGGGATATCAAAGCTAGGATCAGGAAAGCAAGGCAAGTTTTCAGTACTCTCAAGTCTGTGTGGAGATCAACAGCACTCAGCATGAAAAAGTAGATCCGGATTTTCAACTCAAATGTGAAGTCAGTGCTACTCTATACGAATCAGAGACTTGGCGCGTCACGAAGGGCACTTCGAACAAACTACAGACTTTCATCAACAGCTGTCTTCGCTCAATACCACTCAAGATCAGATGGCCATAAAAGATCAGCAATGGTGAGGGATCTCTAGGAGTGAACCAACCAGGAACCAATTGTGCAACAAATATGCAGGAAGAAATGAAGGTGGACCGGCTATGCTCTGAGAAAACCACCAAGTGACATCACACGCCAGGCCATCGTTCGAGTGGAACCCGAACGGGAAGCGGCGAGTTGGTCGTCAGTACAAGGGTGACATGGATGAGGTCATGCGGAGAGGAGATGAAAACATGTGGGCAAACTTAGAGTCAGGTGAAAACGTTAGTGGAGAACCGAACGCGATGGAGACGTGCGGCTGAAATCCTATGTTCCCCTAGGAACTAAAGGAGACAATAATAATATAATAGTGAATGCTAATTACAGACAATAATTCTAAGGACTTGAATAAAAGTAGTCCTGAGTACAATGCAACTCTCCTGATTACAATAGTACAGAGGAAGCATGTACTTTCGCATAAGAAAGACAGACTAAAAACCACGGATGGATAGTGTCAGTTATTTAATTACTTATGCCTGCAGAAATAAAAAAACAAGGCTACATTTAGTTTAATTAATTTTGCATATCCATAAGACTTCCATACAAAAGAGTATTATACGCACTTCACTCTATCATAAGGAAAGAAGTATAAGTGATTTCACCAATTTCAGTATATCAATTCTCACACCAGTTCCATTACTCAGAATAAGGTCTCAATCATATTGCCCAAGTGGGGAAGCTTAAACTGGACGACGAAACAAACAGAAAAAATGACAAAAAGTACGGTCTAACTTCAATCCTTGTTTAATGAAAATACAAATGTTGAACAAACAGAGACTTACACATTCCCATGGAACCTCAGGACCCTGCAGTTAAAGTGAAACCATAAAGTAAACACATTAGTGAGAACAATATCAAGTAAAGTTTACTTTAACGTTAATCATGTCAAAAACAACATTCCAAGCACAAACATGATGCAAAGCCGTAGATAAAACAAAAAAGAATGACCCTGATAACATAGAACTTAAATAACTGAGTAACATTTTGAGTCTTCATATTTCATATATGCGAACCAATGTGATAATATATGCGGCAGTAGTCGCAGGATACTTCAAGGAAGAATGAAGTATGCATAGAATTGCGGTATAACAATTAAGATAACGTAAAGCCACAGCTAAGAAATCTGACAACTCAGAGAAATGGCTCCGGTTTGCACTGAAAGAGCCATGACAGTTGTTAAAGTGAGCAATGTTATTAGATGGTGATTGAATTTATGTTAAGGCATCTAGCACTAAGCAAACTCTATCGATATATTTCTGTGAGAACTTCAGATGACAAGAACACTATGTACCACATCAGGTGATTAAAACGTATCAGTGGGAAACCTGTAGATATGAACTATTGATGTTCACTAAGAGTCACATTTGCGGTGTAATTCAGTGCAGGCGAAAGACCTTAATGAGTTATTTAATGTCGTTTACAGTGATGTAAACATATGTGGACATTCCACAGCATAGAACAAACGTAAGGAACCAAAGATGCTTTATCCAACAACTTAATGTAAAATAAACACCAAAGTATTGAAAAAACCACACTCAATTTTATCAAGCAGAATACCATCAGCGCACAGCATATAAAATTAAGTCTTTCATAGGTCAGACATTAATATCCACTATGTTCATCAACATTACTTTGAATCCACCCACTATCCGATCCGTATTATTCACAATCCTACTACACCGCAAGATTATTCGTGTCATTAAAAGAAGATTATTTTCAGTATTATCGACCGTTGAATATCTTGACCAAAAATAAAGATCAGTGAAGAATTGCGTAAAGAAAAAATACTTCACGTATGTTGAAGGAAGCGATATTTCACTAATGGTATACCAGCTTGTGAATATCGAAGGACTATTCTAACTTTCGCTTGTTTCGAATATCTCGGTGAAATACAATACGATGCATCTAGATCTGCTGATAGGAGCTGTCTTCGAATAAAGCAATATGAACAATATCTGGCTTTAATATAAATAACGACGGTAACGGGATTTTACTTTGGCTGAGACATAAACGGTTATTACCAATACAGAATCTAACCTTATTATGAAGCGACCTTCAACAACGATATTAAGTGGATGGTGATCACAGAAGATAAGTGATGAGTAGTCTTTGACATGTGATACTATAGAGGCTAAGTATTCCATCAACTCACTTAGCTTGTTACCTAGTCACTACGTTGCTATCACTTTAGTTTTACCACACCATGTCAATGATACTTAGAAAACGGTGATAAAATATCGAAGACTAAATCATGTCTTGAACAGTCCTGTTGCATAACCAAACGTTAGGTGAATCACTGCTGCACAAAACAATCGACCACGCATACTCAGTCATTTATGCACCAAAAGTGTAGTTATAAGGAAGACAAAACCTTTTGTAAGTGTGAATTTTTATTGACGACCAAACAAATAGAATAAAATGGTCAGTGCGCTGAATATCTTCACATACTACTAGGAAACTGGATGTCTCTGGAATGAGGAAAAATAGCATGCACCTGCAGAAGAAGGCGACTAGTTTTTCAATTCATCTTAAAAATCCCCTCCTCTTTGAAAATGCGAATGTAGAATGACAATTGTGTATCCCCTTTTAGAACAGACAGGTAATAATACTTATCTCCAATGAGCTAAGCAAGACAACTCTTCCCACAGATCAGAAGAACAGTTAAGATAAATTCGACGTGTTTGAAGTAGAACACAGACTAATTTCCTAAAAATTACTGATTACCTGACCAGATTCAGTAATTGAATCATTAGAATATTTGATTAAAAAATTCGCTATCATAGGGGAGAATCTAATCTACGTTAATAATATTCCCATCGTGTAAAGTTGTCACATCTCAAATTGAGAGAACGCAGGTGGTTAGGGATGTTTTCTAAGTTTTACAAAAGCATTATTTATAAGGTACATGGCGTGTATTTGGTCAAAGGATGTCTAATTATGTCTCCTAATTTAATTGGTGCGAAATCCAAAAAATAACTGTAGGAAATGTACATTCACACTCATACTTTAACTAACCTTTTGATTTCCACTTAGACGAAGACGTTCTTCAGCTTCTGACCTTGCAGCAAGGACATCATCAGACAAGCGATACGCTTTCAGACCAATCTGACCTCTACTGGTTCTTGTTGGATCATAAGTGAGTAACACAGATTCAGGTAGGTAGCTCTGTCGTTGATATATGTTGTCAATATTAGCACGATTTATAGAAACACCGCCAGGACCAGCTTGGTAAAACCCAACATTTAGGTAGTCCGTATTTAACTTCATGTGTCACTTCAAATATTACTACTTACCTGTCTCAAATTACGAATCATGTTGGCCTCATAATTAATCAATGCTTCATTAGCATTAGGATCATCATCTTGGGTTTTAGGCAACGGAAAGCAGTTCGTGATCTCAAGTTGGCTGCCTTGCGCAAGACCCAATAGAACGCCATTTACAAAGTTTTGGCTGGATATTGATTCCTCCTCATAATGTTTTATCATCTTCAAAAAGACAATTCCTTCAACACGAACACTTTCAATGGGCTTATAAATCTTGGACTCGAAATCCATGTTGTAGCGTCTAAACCGAATGAGGCGGTAGTAAATAAGTGAATCACCTCCTCCACGTGTCTGGCAGTGAGTGATATCCCCTTAAAATCTCGACATTTGTCTATCCCAGGCCACTTAGTGAATGTTAAGTCGCTAAGATACTATAAAATATTCAGTATATTTTCCATGAGTTTAACGGACACATCTTGTTTCAGAACAATTCTGAATTTTTGGTTGATTTCAGTACAGTCTATCCCCTGAACTGCAAAAACTCTGCTTGACATAACAAAGGGAGCCGTTTATTTTTATTTTGAAGAGAACATGTGGTTTGTATTAGGGCAGCGGCAGTATAGGGACTTTCAGATCTCCTTACACTGAATGGTTTTACATTTAGTTCGACAAACACTCTAGATGAAGCGATACTAGGTGATTAAGAGAGGAAAGGAAACAATTGCTAGGCGAAAAATGAAAGGCACGACAAGAGGAAAGGTTAGGCAATACGGCAATGAAGGCACACACATAAGATATGAGGCAAAATGAGATAAAAAGTAGAACATAATGGTGAAGTTGGTAAAATACTGGGATATTCAGAGTACGAGTGTCCCCGAGAATTACACTATTCCTGCTTTGAATGTGCCCAGATCTTTCGATCTTGTGTTATGACTGAGCCTTCTAACGAAGCTATCAGGTAATGGAGATGTGAGTAGTTCTGCTGGGAGTAAACTCTGAAAGTGGCGAAACCTTCTCGTGACGGAGATGGAGGGGAATGTAGCGGCTGGTAATTCCCTATAATTATTAGCCAGGGCATCCATCACTGAACATTGAATGCTGACTCTCACTGTTTGAGTCGACTTGTTTAGCTGAAGGCTCGTGGTCAAGCATCCACGCCATTTGGCACGCTGTTGTGTTACGCTCTTTCGTTCGTGAATGATCCCTAACTAGTTAAACAATCAATCTCGCACTACGATTTGGTCGCGAAATATACTTCGAAATTCGATGGATCAACCTCGGTGTTTTGCTTTGCTTTCGGTCCACGCGGAACGAATACCATAGAAGTTGTGGGTATTGGATCTTGCGTTAGTATACTTCGTACCACCCATGAATGTCAATACCCTTATTTTCTAACGTTGTTCCAACCTTGAACTTCACCCGGTAATTCAAGTCCATATACTTCCCGGACTCTAATCTGTAATGTTCACACAATCTATCATTTTCAGAGCATATCTCAAAACAGGTGTCGATATCACGCAGGATTATTGGCTTGCCACTCAGGAACTTCCACAGAAATAAATCCAGAGTTCTCCTGTACAAGGCTTGTGCGCGACCACTTCTAGATTACTCCCCATTCATATCTAGTAATATACGCACAGAATACAAACTAAAAGTAAAAGGAGTGCAGAGGTACTTCACGCCAAAAGTATTCGGAACCGAAAATGGCACAAACTACCTCACCAGATGTGAAATCCTAGGACTCGAAACACTACGGCCAAGACGACCGCAACTAAAATTGATACGTTTCCGTAAGCTTCTAAACCATATGGTGTATACCCCTGTAAATTGCGCTCGATTTTCAGACGACAATGAATGTGAACCAAGACACATTAAATGTACACTGGCTATAGAACAATGTAAAACAAGCACCAGGCAAAAGTTTTCTTGATTAGATATACCAAAATATGGAACAAACTACCTAAGGAAATGCGACTAACAAGCACATTGGCCTCCTTTGAAGAGGTACTTAGTGACACATTAAAAGAATTTGCAAGCGATACTAGTGCCAATACCCATTTAAGAGCTTCAGAAATCATAGGCCCATTTAATGTATGGGCCTAGAGACTACACCTGTTGTTTCGCCTCTATTTATAACTTCACATAAAAAAGAAGCAGTCATGACAAAAGCACCCATACAAATAAGAGTCGTTCGTAAAATGTCTACCTGATGCAAAGAGTGAAACAAAACAGACATACGAATGAAATATGGCAAAACAAGGGCAAAACCTACCACAATATCACATGGAAATGTATGCGTTTTCGGACACTACTGGTACTCCACCAACTAGTCTATCTCTGGAGAGGATGCGGTGATGTCGTATGCATTATGCTAAGGAATTGTGTAAATCCACAGATCCGTTGGTACAAATCAAATTCTTAAACCTTCTCAATGTCGAGTATATAATCAGTGGTGGTAGAAGTTCACGAAACAGTGCATATAAAGCATAGGTATACTTCCTATGATTACATCGATGCTATGCGGAATATATCAAAATTGTAGGATAATCAAAACTCGCACGAAATGTAATTAACTAAATCCACACGGCAAACAGGCTGCAGTACACATCTAGATATTCATCCATATGTTGATCATGCTGACAAATCCATATTACTAACTATACAGCGCCAACTAATCAGGATATCTAAAAAACAATGAAAATATGATGACAATTGCATTTCGAATCTTACTAAGTCATTCAATAATAATATTCTGCTCTTGTGCAATTCATTCATCGTTTTTTATGTATTAGTTCACAGTTAACCTGGTTCCCGACATAAATGAATAAAAATTCTACCGGTCGCTGATTACTGTTGATTTTATAATACTTTTTCTCGCGTTTAACCTGATACTAACTGCTGTAGTGAGCCACTTGCAGACGATATCTCTGAAAACGTTTTCGGTAAACTATTTTTTACAAGCCATTTTCATACTTCTTTGAGTAGGCTGTCGAACCTACCACATCTAACGCAGTATAAAGTTGTTGCAAGCATTTCCGCTAAAATCACAGTAATGAGGCCTGGGATTATATGATATAATTTGCTTCTACCAATGTAAAGTCAGCTTACCGATGTTACTCTACTACCTTTGCTTATGTACATATGTACTGTACAACTGAATAAGTGCAAATGTGCCTACTTAATGTACACATTATTTATCATATTGATAGTTCCTACAAGCTGGCATCTGTCGTAAAAAAATAATCAGAATATATCATTCCAGCCACTTTTAGTGCTATAACAGTATTTTTTGTCAGAAATTTTGAATAATGGTTGAATTAACGAGCAGTCGAAATCATCAATTATCATTTTTTAAACGACGGGTAAGCTGATGAGTAACGTAGTTGAGTTACTTATCCAGCTTATCAGTGTTTAGCGGCACATTAGTATTTACAGTTTAAAACCAATGGGTCCTGTAGCATTCCCTAGGCACAATACGTACCCCAAATAAGGAAGAAACCCCAGACAGATAAAACGGAGTCGAAGTACACTGAATCTTCATGTTGGTTCACGATGCAATCCATCACAGAAACTGATTGTACCATTTTACAAGGTGTAGGAAGTCGACAGCTAGGTATGATACGCCATTTGAAAAGGCGATTCTATATCCACCAAATCCCAATGCACTTGTTCTACTTAAACCCAAGGACTGTTTCCAGGTCAAATCGAAGCAACAATGTGATCGTCGAAAATGTGGAATATAGTTCAGGATCCAAAATGCACGCCTAACTAGCTAAAGTGAATGCACGAACCATCGAAAATAACACAACAATAACTAGATGGCGTGGACGCTTCACAGCGGAACTTTAGTTCGACCGGTCGAGCTAAACAGTTAAGATGAATGTACTCATTTCAAATAAAAACATTTTTATATATTCAAGTACCCTGTCGGGATTATGCTTACTTCTTTCATTGCCATTCCGTATTCCCAGTTCAAGTAACATTTTTATTTATTTTTTGATTTACAGCTTGATTTCACACCGTATTTTCAGTACAAGTGTGGAATTTTCAGCATGGATATCGGTAGCCCAAATTCAGGCCGACCATAGATATCGGGTGTGCGCCGGCAGATGATCGAACCCCGGACCATGTGCATGGTAGGCGAGAGTCCTAACCACTGTGCCACCTCCATTGTCGTAGTTTTGATGGTAAGACCGTTATGGTCAGCTTTACGGATCTCAAGTTTACATTATCATCACAAGGACTGGATAGCTTCTTCTTGCATGAACCACTGTAAATATACTTTTGATGTCATAACTCTTATCTCCGGCTTTATTCAAATTACTGGTTTCACGAGATATCTGGTTTCTCTGAAATACCCAACAATCCCTCTTCGATGTTTCAGGAATTGGTTGGGTAACTGTCAAGGACGCCCCCCGCTAAAAACCAACTGAAATTCAAGATGTCTGCCCAAACTCAACGATAACTTTGTGATTTAACAGTAGAATGATACTTATCTGATAACTTAAGTTAAAAGTTGACTATCCAGGCCGTCGAAGCAGTACAAATTTACTCTAATTTCACGATCCAAGATCGTGTCGTATTTGATTTTGCTGTTAAAACAGTATGATTTTCACGTAAATTAATTTGTTCACACGTGGATTTATATTATTAAGACATTGACACTGGAAGGACCTGGGCCACAGAGGTCACCGCTGAAATGGAGGGCGAAAAAAAAGGAGATGGATGTATGATTGCCGACTGATTCTATCTTTTTACATCACGCCATTTATTTTATTGTTGTCATTATGCACTATTTGACATAGTCTCTTTCGTTGTGCGTTCTACTTTGATCTGTGATCAGCATGGTTCCGCAAGTTATGAAATTTAGTATCGGTTAAACAATCTAACAAGATATAAGACACAAAGCTAATCGTTTACAGATGAACTGTTTATGTGTCATCCTCAATATCGTTACACCATTAGCCTAAGAACATCCAGCTATAAGCTGCCATATGCATTCAAATTCATTCCTGAAGGTCATTCGCTCATATCAACTCCATATGATACCATGACTACATCACTGATTTGTAATGTTTGACATGACATTAACCATTTATTTCCTAACTACAGTCCTAGTACATATTATATGAATCATCTTTGGGAAGTTAAAAGTAGCACTCCCGTGGAGATAAGAGTTCCAATGTACCTCAAAAGGAAAATTTCATCAACACTGGCTGCTTGGGCGGAAGGAGGGGAAGAGAGCCTGGCAATCGAAATCAAGAAAACAAAAGTGCACTAACTAATATCATTTCCATTCTTCAGAATTTCTTGCTATATATGGACATCTTTACCTGGTTTTAAAACCTTGAATTAGTCGCATTACCCCTTCATATTCTGTTGTTCTGTGTGCATAGTATTCTGAGCTTTAGGTATAGTCTTCTGAAACCAGAGATAGGTACAGGATCTTCGTGATTTCAGCAAGCGACACATGTATCTCAGTTTTGGTTTGTCTCTATCTTTAAATCATAG